GTCGTGGAACCGCCAGTGTCCCCAGCTCACCCGGCCCTGCTAATCCCCAAAGCTCCTTTGCCCATCGACCTGCGCTGGAGGTGCCGGCGCAGTGCCACGAGTCCAGTAACGGTGACAGGGAGCAGGCATGGCACAGCCCCTGCCCTCCAGCACATCTCCAAGCCCCCACCCAGGGGCACCAGGCACCCCGGAGATGAGCACGGCCAGCGCTGGCCTGGCACAATGGCTGCACTGTGTGGGCACTGGGGACAGCAGCACAAGCTGAAGGGACAATCCTGTGCCGGGCAGCGGCACCCGGTACACGGTGCCACCAGCACAGGGAGGGCAGAGGGTCCCTGAGCTGGCACAGGGTGCCGCGGTCCTGTCGGGGAGAAGGGAGCTCACAGTGAGGGGATGTGATGGATGGGGACACGGGGACAGGCGGTACCACACCACAATGCTGCTGTGGAGCTGATGCTGCTATGAAGCTGGGGATGCCCACAGTGCCGGGGCAGAGAGCTGCCTGCATCCTGCCACTCTGCTGGTGCCTGCAGAGCCCCCCCAGAGCAGGAAGCAGACACCCACGCTGGGGGCTCAGGGTGCAGCGAGGTACCTTGGTGCCGTGGTAGAAGTCATCAACGCAGGTGGCGTTCATGAAGGTCTGGTGGAAGTGGGTGCTGGTGTCGATGCCGCCTGGGATGACGAGCTTGCCGGTGGCGTCGATGACCTTGGCGCCGCCAGGGATCATCAGCTCGCGCCCCACTTGCTGGATGATGCCGTTCTCGATGTAGACATCGGCCTCGAGCGTGCAGTCGTCATTCACCACCTTTCCCCCCTTGATGAGGATCCGCATGGTGGCCGCGTTGGCGAGCATGGTGCTGCAGGGCAGGGCAGTGTTGGGGTGAGCACCAGAGCCCCCACCTGCGAGCCCCCTGGGCCAGGGGGCTCACCCCATTGCCCACCCTGGCCGGAGGCACTGGCGCAGGGCTCAGCCCCGCAGCTGCGCATCTTCCACAGGCCATGTCAATGGATTATCCTGGGAAATCCGCCGAGAGGAGGGGCCCTGGCACTGAGCCGGGGACTGCCACCCCGCTGGGCCCCCCACTCTGGTGATGCCAGCCTGCACCCCAGCCAGTGCCACCTGCC